CATCTGCTTCACATTTTTCCTGTTTGTTTTCGGTCGAGGATCACTGTTATTGGCAATATATGGAACTAGCCGAGATGATACTTGTACTTTATATAACGTATATGACTGAAGTCTGCAGTTGAAGTTGCGTTATCGCCACTCTTCTCGAGCACGGCACGCTGTGATTCGAAGTGACTTTTATGTACACAGGAGGGGAAGACGAAAAACGAGGGAAACGTGAAAGTGTGTGTGTGAGAGAAAGAGAGAGAGAGAGAAAAAAGGGAATATAAATAAATACACCCTCACGACATGCGACACGACTTTCAGCCATAACTGGAAGAAACATGTGTATTCCAGGGGTTTCGTAATTAAAAGCCATTCCACCCATCGACCGATAAGGCTTATCTCGGATTGAATTACCGAACGCCGCTGGGGGTGCATCCATAAATTGTGCTCCTTCACTCGAAGGACCATCACCATTATTACCATGTTTCAAAGAAAAAATATACGTCCGGCAATCCGGAGGAGGAGCGGAATGTGGGTTAAAAGAAATCGCAAAAACGAAAAGAAGGAAAGGACGAAAAAAAGATGTTTAATAATTCAATGAATTATTCATGCCCGGGGCAAGGATCCATCCTTTTTGAGGAGCGCGTATGCATATTCCGCCCCCATTGTTTCTTAAAATCATCCAATTTTTTTTTTTGCTGGTACAACCCTCCGACCAACCCACACCACCCCGAATGTATTTATTATGCGAAGATTTATTTAATTATGCATTCGAGAATTGGAATGAAATAAGGCGAGGAAAAGGGAAGGGAACAAAACCCCCCAAAAAATAAAGAAAGAAAGAATAATATCAGCACGAGCGCAAAGATTTCCAAGTATTTCCTCTTTGGAAGCGTTTCTTTCCGTGGTATTAAATTAAGCATTTTACTTGACTTGGTAAATAGGCAATTCGTTTCACAATTCCAAGGCGGAATTGCCGTCGTTACGCTCTTTGAAAGTTGTCCCAGATTTTCCATCCAGCCGACATTAACATTAACAAACACATTCCCTTAATAATCGTATTTCAACGCGTTGTTTCATATTAATCCAATACACAAAATATGTATAACAACATTTAATTCCTTTTGGAATAAATTTTACTTCAATTACAGTAAACAACAAATTATTTATGAATACTATTTAAATCAAAAATGTAATACTAATAACATAAGTTTCGATGTATTATGAGTAAAATTTGCAGAAAATATTTGTATGTTAATACTACTTTTTTTTTAAATAATGATTAATAATATTTATTTTTTTAGATATTAACATTAATGTCATTACGTATTAAGAAATGATTAGAATGAAAAGGGTCCTTGCATATTATTTAAGTTACTTATTATTATTTAATTTAAATTTTTTCCTGTTCATTTACAAAGAGAATGCATACATTGCACACTTTTCACATTTGAAAACAATAAATTATTGTATATGACCATAAGAGATAAAGTGTTTAATAAACTAATGCGAGGAAAAAGCACGCATAACTTGTTATTACTCCAAGAATGGTATAAATGCTCGCATTCCTTTTACTTAATGATTAATGTTTGTAGCATGCTCTGTCAATATTCTAATCGTGTATGGGAAAACAATGATTATTATTAAGGTTAATAGTTTGTGTTGTTTGCTAGACAAATTACAAATGCTGTGTAAACATAAAATTGACTTATTGTTGAATTTACATACAATTTATATTTCTGATCAATTGCTTAACTAATTACATAAAAAAATAACATTTCAAAATTAATATTAATTATTCATCTTAACATAAGTTATCATAATTTAACATAAGCTAATCTTAAAAACATAACCTATTCCAAGATTTTTCTATTCCAAATTTGGTTCGATTCATTTATTATTATAAATTTTACTTTATTTTTGGTATATATTGGAATTGTTTTAGTTTTCAATATTAAAAATGATTCTCATAATAGGAAACTGTTGCGTTGTAAGACGAAGATGGAATGCTTGGAGTACTGAATAACATGTTGGGGATATTAGAAAATACCACAGAACAATACAATTGACAACGTATTGTGTAGCAAACTGTTACAAGAAAAAACGGAGTATATAATATGCAATTATTTTATATAATGACTATAATTGGTATAAGTAACAATGCCTGATTTGACTACCGTTCTCGCTTTAGAAAACAAGAAACACATGAATAAAAAAAATGCGGAAATCATAGGTTATGGTTGGGTAGTGAAGAACGGAAATTATTGCTAGTTTAGATTCCCTGTGGAAATATGGCTTGGAACAAAAGCTGTAACAAAGTGCGATTACTTGGATGAAAATGAGGAACAATTTTAATTCTTTAATAACATTCCCATCCGACCCCGCAGCCGAAAAGTCGGGAATTAGCCGCGTCTGCTGGCGAAGGGCCAATCAAATTGCTCATTAAATGATAAGGTTTAATATCCTGGAATTAAGCTGATGAGTGGAAAAGTTGATGAAAGAAGCTTATGAAGTAGCTCGAACAGCCCACCCCGATCCTCCGGCTGCATTCTCCTTCCCTCCAACAAGAATCCGTTCACTCAGGGGGCTTGTAGATGGGCAGACAATCCCCTTGAAGCAAATATTGAACTTATTCTTTCAATACACGCGGCGTGATGCAATTTATTATGTGCAGGACGATCCATTATTTTTTTTTTTCGACGCGGCAAATGGCGAAGAAGTAATGCGACACCATCAATAAATGTCGCGAATTTACGCATCCATATTCAGCACAGTGTTAAGACAGTCACAGATCGACCACAAAAATATTGATTTTTGTTTCTGTCTTATATTATATTAATGAGTGTAATAGAAATGACATTTATTGGCAGAGCCGTCCTTAGACCGGGGTGAGCGGTGCCTGAAGCCTTATGCGAACCGGCAGGCACGAACGTGAGCCTGTACTAAACATTTAGGCTGCGCTCCGTTTTTATGTTTTTTTAGGCTCGAATCAAAGAACACGTGGCAAAACAAAGGTTTCACTAGAGTAGCGATTTTAAATTATAAAAAATTGTTTAAGGGACCCCAAAATTATTTTTTGCCGTATGCCCCTCACTTGCTAGGGACTCTGTTCATGGGATACAATTATGAATATTATAAATGACAGACGACATTTGTAAATTTACCATTAATAACGTAAAAACACTTGTCCAATTAAACGTACATATATGTAATGTAACAACTACAGAAATGTTCTATTAAAAAGATACAATTTTCATTGTATTAATAAAAGTAAACGCACAGAGGATAATTGTGATTTTCATTTTAATTCAATTAAGAATATTAAAATATTAAACAGAATCAGAAGCTCAAGCACTAATTGAGTTTCTGTTAAAAAGTAAAAGAAGAAAGTGCATCAACGTCTGCGTAAAAAATGTAATCCAATCAATGCAAAATACTTGAGTTATGAGTTCAAGAGAAGTTGCAAATTTTCACATTTAAAAAATAAAAGCACAAATGAAACAACAAATATTTTCCATCATTAATTAAAAACATAATTATAAGAGGATTCAAATAATTATGTTTTTACTCATATAATATTATAAAGTTCGTTTGATTTATAATAGATTTCAAATAATTGAAAAAAAAAATAGTTATTATATTTTGATCAGAGTTCGATGAATCTATTGATGCTAAAGTTTCGTTAAGCTAAATTCGACAGTCTTGATACTTGCCTTTTTTGTAGAGGAGAAACCTTTCGTTATCAGCATCCAGGTCCGATCTTTTAACATGTCTCTGCAATGCAGATTGTCTGAATAAGCCTAGTTATATGTGTTTTTTAATTAAGGATGCGAGATTTTTATGTACATTCTAACAGAATCAATGCATTATTTTTAGCTATTGGTGTATTCAATTAGGCAAATGTGAATGAAGTAACATATATACTTATTAAATACTTCTATACTTATATAAGTAGTTTGGTAAGCTTTATGCATGTATAACTTTTTATTATAATATATATAAAAGAATATGAATTTCTGATAAATTAAGAATACCTTTGGAAAACCATTGAAAATATGTTAAAGAATGGGAGCAGAAACAAGCAGCAAAGCGAATGCAAATGCAAATGCGAAGCGCAAAGTTCTCTTTTGATTTATTCATACCTGTGGAATTGCGGTTTTCATCAAGATTTATATACGGTCTTCGTAATGCGATGACTTATTGCATTTTGATTTGGCATGGGAAAGTTCGGCTCGTTAAGTTAATTAACGAATTCTCTCAACCCTCCCGTTAGCCACTCGAGCCCTATTTTTACAGGCACTCGTTTTCACTCGCCGCCCTCTCGACTAATTTATTTAGTAAATGAAGTGCTTAATCGAACAAACAGAGAGTAGTAGAAAAATAGAAAGAAAAATTAGTGGAGAAGAAGGAATAGCACTTGAAACTACTCTCGTCCGACGAATGCGCATTTTCGTGGGAAAGGAAAGAGTCGTGGAAGAAAAAGGGAGAGAGAGAAAAAAAAAGAAGCAATATATATATAGATGTGTGTGTAATTATATAATCGATCGATTCGCCCCAGCGGTTTTCCCTTTTCCCATCCATTATCTTCACTTTGATTCACGTGTCAGTCGAGCTGTTCATTAAGCATCTTTGGGGTCCGGATTTAATGCCTTATTGCGTTTCGTCCGACCGTAGAGTGGATTTCTTCCTTTCTCTCTGCACGTCGATTTTTGCATGCAAATCGTTTCCTATTTACAACTGCTCCCCCGAGATCCGTATAAGCGATATTCCCGTTCCCTCTCGCGCGTTTTCGCAAAACAAACTACCCCTTTGATGATCGCGAACTATCAAAGCGATCTATCACTTGACCGAGCGTGACCTTCGATTGGTCGTGTGATTAATGGACGACTGCTCTTCTTTGTTTTCCGTTTCTCGACGTTCTCTTTTTATTATTTTTTTTACTTCTTTCTTTTCATTGTTTTTTTTTTCTTACCCGTTGATATCATTATATTCATCCGCTTGTTTTTCTTTTGCAGGCTGAGGAGTTGAATTCCATTGTCGGAAATGCATTTCGCATGGCCTACGCGGCACAGCTGCAGAAACAGCCCAGTTTTCAAGACGTAATTGCCTCCCAACTGGATCAGACCCAGACGGATAAAGTTCTTTGGGTAAGGGTTTCCGCTGTTTCACTTCAACCTTTTCCGTACTCACAGTTTTAATATATTCATACCTAAAATTAACACCAAGCAAACAACCGAAAGATGCAAAATTAAAAGTTTTCCTTCAAATCATGCAATTAATTTAAAGAAATAATAATGTCAAAATAGTAATAATACGTTGAAATACAATATTAATCAAAATATAAAAATACAACCTTAAACAATGACAGCAATTGTAAAATTACTTAAATTCAATTTTCAAAAAAAAAAACATTTTAAGCTGTTTTCTTTTCAATCAGAAAATGAATACTGTAATTAATTTATTATGTTTAAATGGAGCGGAAATACTTTGTATTTATAATACAATGAAGCTGTCTTATTGTTATATAATTGTAATGTTTTGTTTGCAGACGAAGGAATTGTCCTGTGGATTAAAGAAAGATAAAAACCCTGTGTTGAATAACAATCAATCGTGCGAGATGGATGTGCAGCTAAATAACACGGACGCATCGGCCCTGAGGCTGGCACCACCCAGTTCGATTCCGGGATTGAAGCCGACCCACAAATACAATGTGCTTGGGCCATCCGAGAAGAGCCAGAGCCAGCAGAGCACACCCAGCAGCGATGAAAGCAACTCCCCGACGGAAATGAACTCGTACAAACGTATGACCGAGAAACCGCCGCTAATAAAGAGACTGGCGATGGGTTTCACCACGAACAACCACAACCCCGATGACGATAGCTGCCCTCTGGTTAATAACGACAGCTCCCTGAACAGCACCCCGAGCAGCCCGACGAACCGCCCACTCTCCGGGGGCTACGTCAATGAAACGGTGAACGAGGATAGCAAGACCAGCATCAAATCGGAGAACGTGCCCAAACAGATCGAGATCGAGAGCAACAGGATTCTGCAATCGTCTCCCGCCTCCACCGAGCAGGAGTTCAAGACCAAGCGCATCTCGCAGATAAGTTCGAGCAGTTCAAGCTCCTGTCCACAAACGGGGACGGACGCGCCTTTGTTGGGCTTCACTCCGACGCCGCCGCCGCTTCCAGAGAGGACGGACTCTTTGAACAACAAAGAGGAAGGCGAGCTGCGCTTAGCACCATGGTTCCAGGCTGGTATCCCCAGGGAGATAGCCTTAGAGATCCTCGGTCAGGAGCCTGTCGGAGCTTTCATGGTCAGGGAGAGCACCAGCAAACCGGGATGCTTTGCCCTCAGTCTTCGAGTTCCCAGGAACTTCCAACCCACCGGCATCGCGCATTATCTCATCGTGCGAACGAACAAAGGCTACAAAATTAAGGTAAGAGATATTAACAACTAACCTTGCAACCCAGACGCTCATGCATTATTTCCACAGGGCTTTACCAAGGAATTCACAACTCTGACTTCGCTGATTACGCACCACTCAGTAATGCCTGAGCTACTGCCGTGTCCGCTCTCCCTCAGCAGATACAATCCCAGCTTCGTGCGGTCCGACTCCAAACGTGACTTTGCCGACATCGACTTGGACCCGGACTACAACACCCTCGCCGACTTCAGGAAAATGATGGCCGATCTAAACGTATAAACAACAACAGCAACAACATCATCATCATCAGAAAGAAAAAAGAACATACACACACCCAACTTCATTAACTAAATTATTTCCTAGTCCTAGTCCTATACAAATATCCAGCAAAACAAATATAAAATGAAAGAAATTGTATATATTTAAAAGACACTAAAGTGTGTACCTTGTGATACCTTGCATTTTATATGGAAATCGAGAAAAAGTTTTGTTCGTTGTAAAACCCCCTCCCTCCCCATTACTTTTTGTTCGTTTTTGGTTTGTTCGTTGTTATACGGAGATGTGAGACTACTACTGCTTTTCGGTGTTATACATTTCGGAACTCGATTGGCGAAACGCTTGATTGCTTGGTTACTAGTGGGATTTATTTTTCGGAGAGTGATTTCTTGGACCAATGAAGAGACTTTATATTCAGTTTTAATTTAAGCCACCTAGTCTTGTGTACGTGTTTCCACCATCGCCCGAAGCCATCAAACCCAACACCCCCATCTTACTGTCCTTCCCTCCCCCCAAACAAAAAATATATAAAAACGTTCCCCTTGTGTAAATAAAGACAACATTCTGGTATAAAATATGCAATTCGTGTTCTTCTTTCGTTATTTTTTTATTTCTTCAATACTAGTCACCCGAATTCCACACGCGCTATTTGTAAATCAGCGGTTCTTAAAAAATAAAGATTTGTGCTATTTGCTCATATACTTTGATCACTTCTTGGATCAGAGACTGAGAACCTCTGCTGTAACATAGCCTTTGTAAACAAATAACTGTAAAAGTATTTATTTTCCTTTTAAGTTTACAATTATCGTTTTATTATAACACCAGTTTATTTGTTGTTGTGAAGCTCTGCAGAACATTTCACTTCCTGCAGCAGAACTTTTAATTTAAATTATATCAAATTTATTCCTTCCTGTGTTTGTTGCCACAACAACAGCAACTGTGTACATACCGGTGCGGATGTAAGGTGTGTGCGCACTTCCGCCGATCGTCGGACTATATTAATGAGCAACTCTGACTTTCCTTCGTGGACCTTTGTTAATAAGCGCATCCAATTACTTTTTTATATTTATAAACCAAGTAGTTTTCTGTCGGCGTTTCGGATAATAAATATTGTTATTATTACTACTTCTTTCAATTTCCTTTCAAAGATACTAAATTTATGGTAAGTAACTGAAATAACAAATATCTTATAATAAACAACAAACAGATTATTATAACATTTTTAATTATAATAAAAGTACTATATCAAAAGTATCATTTGCCATTTTAGAAAAATCGACTTAAAATGATTTTGCGTTTTATTGTACCAGGAAACCAGATGATACAAAGGAAATAATAGCAAAGTTATGTAAAATAATACAAAATATGGACTTTATAAACAAAAGTAACGAATTAACACAATAATATCATTATTTAATACATTCTCGTCTTTACGAATTGATTTATTGTAATCAGGCGCAAAGCTTGGAATTTCTAATGCTGTTCATGATGAAAGTAAGGACTTTTATCAAGTATTTTGTTAATAATATGTATATTTATAACATTAACATTTATACTATGTGAAATACGTAAGTAAATTTTGTTGCAACTTTTCTTTGATTATAAACAGTAAATTGAAAAAATCAGTTTTGTTCTTAATTATTTTGACCGTAATGTAATTTAATCCTTCATTGTATAACTAAACTAATTTCTTCTTCTTTCCACCACCATTTCCTTCTCATTTAAAATAAACTAATTAATAATTATAAATATATCTATTTTTTAAAGAGATCTATATCAATTTATTTATTGATATAAATCTCTCCGGCTCTATTTCGGGTTTTGTTGATTTTTTTGGAATTGAACCAACGACCTTTCGTATCAGATTTTCGTGATTATTATGTTTATGGCCCTTTTTCTGACACCTTTTGTAAGTAATTATGGTTGCATACTCGTTTTCAGACTATAATTTTCTTTATATTGGTAGCATTATATTTAAATATTACGTTGGAAAGCCTGACCAAATGACAATATTATAAAAACACGTGTGGTTAGGCATGTTTACAAATGTTTTTGGTTTGGTGTACTAAAAATGAAGATTAAAGTGTTAAGCCGTGATCCCAATCAATATATAAGGGAAACCAAATCCGAAACTCATAAACGTAAGCCATTAGACCTCTAAAAATAGAATAAAACTTATAACATCTGTAATTTTAGTTAAGAGAAACTTTGACCCAAAGTTGCACCAGTTTGAAGCAGCCAGAGAATATGTACGTGCTTTAAATGCAACGAAATTAGACAAGGTATTTGCTAAACCTTTCATTGGTAACCTCGATGGACACAGAGACTCCATATCTTGCATAAGCAAGCACCCAACAAGTCTATCTTTACTCCTCAGTGGTGCTTATAATGGAGAGCTCAGAGTATGGGATATTCCTCAGAAGAAATGCATCAGGGAGATTCAAGCACACGATGGTGTCCTCCGTGGTATTAGCTACACAAATGATGGCCAACATTTCTTTTCCATTGGTGATGACAAAAATATTAAGATGTGGAGCTCTCAAGCCCCATTAAGACCAGAAGATGAAGAACCAGCAAACACTATATTAAGTAAAAGCATTATCAGTGGAATTTCCCATCATTTCACTGAAGACAAATTTGCCACATGCGGTGAGGTTTGTCAATTATGGGAAGAGTCTAGGAATTCGTCTATAAAAACTTATGAGTGGGGTGTCGATACCCTTCATGATGTAGCTTTTAATCCTGTACAGAGCAACTTGTTGGGTGCTTGTGCCGCAGACAGAAGTATTATTCTGTATGATATTAGGGAAACTAAGCCTTTGAGAAAGTTAGTGATGGCTTTGAAATCGAATAAGATTTGTTGGAATCCTATGGAAGCTTTCAACTTCACAGTAGCCAGTGAGGATTTTAACCTGTATACCTTTGACACAAGGAATTTGAAATGCCCAGTGACCATGCATGTAGATCACGTATCAGCTGTGATGTCCTTGGACTATGCGCCAACAGGAAAGGAATTTGTCACAGGAAGCTACGACAAAACAATTAGGATATTTGAAGTAGACAAAGTGCATTCGAGAGAGGTGTACCATACCAAGAGAATGCAGAGGTTGACTTCAGTCCAATGGACTTTGGATAACAAATACATTCTGTCAGCTTCTGATGAGATGAATATTAGGATCTGGAAGGCAAGGGCTTCTGAGAAATTGGGACCGGTAAGTTGCAAATAAACCTTTGGTTGGTTTTCTTTTTATTTCAATACAATTTTATATTCCAGTTGAAACAGCGCGAGAAAGCTGCTTTGAATTACTCGGAGGCTTTAAAGGATAAGTACGCGGCTCATCCGAAGATCAAGAAGATCGCTCAAAGAAGGCACGTTCCGAAACACGTCTATAATGCACAGATGGAGATGAAGACAATTAGGAAGGCGCATCGCAGGAAGGATGCTAACAGGAAACTGCATTCTAAGCCTGGATCCACGAAAACCAAGCCAGAAATATTGAAGAAGATTGTGAGGGAGGACGCATAATAAATTATGTTATTTGTTTCTGAATTGTTCTCTTCTATTTTTTGATTGAACACGTTCATATTTTTATAAATAATATACAAAAGTACTAATTTTATGAAGGTTAAATAGATTTTTTTCTAATTTTCAAGTATAATTGTTCAGTTAATGACTATAAAAAATATGAACATGTATATGCCCATAATTGCACATATCAATATATTTATATTGAAATGTGAATGCCAATAGACAGCAAAATTCCAAAACCAGTTAAGTAACAAATATTTACGATTCATTTGTATCTTGGAACTGGTACGCAATTACTCGGTGACAGATACCCAAATTATATTTTTAAGATATAATGTAACATATAAATATATGTTTAATATCAACAATAATTATAACTTTAAAAACAACAGCAATTATATAAAATTAAGAAAATACATCTGGACAACGACTAAAAAAAATCTTCCAATACATGCAATTTATTGTCAAGATACAATTGAAATGCGCAATTCGCTTTATCTAGAATGAGGAAAAAATGACATTATGCAATTTCACAACTGGAAGACAATCTATCCGAAGATTTTGAACCAATTTTAGAATGGTTCACGAATACGTGATGGCAAGCAGAGCATATAGGCGCTGTGGTTGCACCGCATCCATGCACGGACAGCTCCTGGTATACACTGGTATATATGTTGTCCAAGAATCAATAGAAAAATATCGATCTTTTCTTTCAACGTTTGGTCCGTATACCAATTCACAGTAAATAGAATCGATATAACAAATAACTTAACGAAATTTTCCCACCGAAGATTATATTTAAACTTTGGTAGCAGCCCAAAATTTTTAGATTTTCATAAATGGTATATGATATATATGAATTAATATATCACTAAATTTATAATTTTCATATTGGATTTCTTTTCGTTGTACAATTGTGTTGGTTAGGCTAATGTAAATACTGTTTTCTTTAAATTGTATGCTTATTTTGTTAGTAAAATGACTTCAAAACTAAATATTCATTAGAAGTTTGATCAATGAATCAATCTGGAATCGCCGAGCGAGTGATAAACTCTGTCAAATCATATGAAAGTTAAGTAAGTTGTAGCAAAGAAAGAATTTGGATGGGTGGTCCATTCTGCAATTATGTGATATACTTTGTTGCAGAAACAAATCTTAGAAGTGTAATATTATTTATATTTTCAACAAATTTGTTCTTATTTTCTTGCCATTAACGTTTTTTGACAGCCCTGACTAATGGGAAAATTTATTTGAATACTTACACTAACTTGGTGTATTGTAACTGTATAGATTAGTAGTTTCCTTATTTCATCAAAATTCAATCAACTTGTTAACAAATGATGACTTTCCAGATATTTCGTCAGAAACTTAATCGAAGATCATTAACACGTTCACTGCCAGGGAATTTTTGACGATTTCGGTCTAAAAGAGTCAATTTCATTTAATCATGGTATTTTATATTTATATTGTATATATTTGTATGAACAGAAAAACAGAACAGAAAAATTAACTTAAATTTTAAGAGAAACCTGAATTTTTATGCTACGAGTTTCCTTGGATTAGGTTCTAATTATTTTGAATGAAATGAATTTAACAAAATTCGACTTAAATGAATTTTTTGGTATTAATTATTGTAAATTTAAGTGAACTTATAGTTACAATGTAAATTACCAAACAATAGTTTTGAAATAAATAATTGTATTATAATTAAACTATTCTCCCATGCAAATCAATGGAATAACGTCGGCGAAAACCAATATATTTTGGGGGTATTAGGTAAAAATTATTTCCTGATCCTTTGTGTAGTGTAAAATCAATTTTTTTATAATTTGGCAAAGCAACCCATACAGAAAATTAACTGAAGATCTGAAACTAAATTAATTTGGTCTTAGAGAAATCTATTTGAATATATTTAAAATAAATTTTTATATTATTTTAAATCAAAAACTTTTCTTATTAGTATGTAAGTTATTTCGAATATAATGTGTTTTTTATTATTACACTTACGACTCTATGTCTGCCACCAAAATGTAACTTACTTAAGGTTGACTACTGCTCTTTGAAAATCGACACTGAAAAAAATATATATTCAAGTGACTCATGTTATTAAAAAAAATCGTTGGTAAATCATACGAGGTCCACGCCGGGAAAATGTTCGCATTTTTTTTGCAAAACAACTTGCTGATAGCAGCAAGATAAATGGATATGGTCTGAGCGTTGCGTAAGATTTTTATTTTTTTAGACCATTGCCATCGTGCAGATAATGCACACTACGAAGCTTTTGTTTATTTATGTTTTCTCTGCACTATCTTCTGTGCGTAATGATTCATTTTGGCTACTATATGTAATAAAACGGTTAAATTTTTTATGCGTTACACTATTATTTATAAAGACAATAACAAAATTTAAATTATTTTAAGCTTACAAAGTAAAATATCTTGCAATGGGGAATCATTTAAAAATTAAGTTTATAAGTTTAACTCTTTGAGGGACCAGAAATACCTAAATTTCTAGACCCAACAATTTATAGACAACTGAATCAGACAACTACGTCTACTGAATCTACTGGCCTAACTTTGACATACCAATCAAAAGGACAGTTCCTCTTTTCTGGACATTTCCTAGAAATGAGACAATGCGTGTCCCACCGCCCCTCAAAGAGTTAAAGGAAAAGCAAACGTTTTTTTATATTTACAACAATGTAGAAAATGACAAAGATTTTCAAATGGAAAATGTATAAAATCAAACGAAACATTTAAAAATAATTGATTTTACGTTTTGATTTAATAATTTCTAAAAAAAAAAATGATTGGAATTCAATAGAAAAAAACTTAAAATTAGCCAAACATTACAACGCAATCAAATAAACACAAGTCATTGAAAAAATGACGAAAACATGAATTTACATCTCATTGATCATTTGTTTCGGTTCAATAATTATCAGTTTATATTTTTACTATATTTTTTCACATAAGAAAGATAATTTTAATCATCAAGAAATATAAAAATCTTTTATTTTTCATTGCATGTGTATTTTTTCTCTTTTTCTTTAGTCTTAATCAAAACTGGAAATTATTTGAAACTTATTAATATTATTTAATATTTATTTAGAAAATTTTCGACAAAAATGTATTTAACAATAATAAAAAAAAATATTTAAATAGAAAATATGTATACAAATATTATTTTGTGTACTATTTTTTAGATACTTTGTATTTTACTCAATTAAAATTTAGGGGACAAAAAGACCTATGGTCAATAGATTTTTGCAGCAGTTTATTTTTTGTTATTATATTATTGTATTGAGTTTATATTTTTGTGAATTATTGTTGCAACAATAATCATTATTATTAAAATTTAGTTTGTTGATTTTTTTAAACCGGAGTTTAGTGAATGCGGACTGTTCGAAGCCGTCTATTCGAGATAGTTTATATTAGAAAGAGTTATGTAAGTTTTGCTTTTCCGTATAAACATTCCAATTAAAATAAAAAATCCAGATTTTTAATGTAAAAATAAACATAACTTATTTATCATAGTGATACGCTTTAATTGGATTCATTAAAATTTATTATCGAGAACTTACGTCAATCCCATATATTTCTTCACTTTTTTTTCATTGCTTGATTTATTTTATTTTTTTGTTTCAAATTCTGCACTTTGTCTCCATAATAAAAAGGAGACTTACAATAATTAATCGATTTCAATAACATATAAAAAATATTTTGGTAAATATTTCATACGAATAATAAATAATTAATTGAAGAAAATAATGAGGATATTTTCATATCTATTTTAATGTCAGGATATTTAAAACTTGTCAATTTTTTTGTTTTGTTGTTCTGTATGTTCCTTATACATTTTATTTTTTTATCTGTATGTTATTTACTCATTATTTGTGACTTGGCAAGTCGCGCGTTCTTACAAAACTAATAATTAATGTAAAAATTTCGTATTTATATTAAATCTTACAGAAAAAAATCTATTTTTTTTTTGTTGTTTTAAAACTGTGATAGGATTTAAGGTATAAATTAAGTCGTTTGAAGATAGTTTACTCTTTATATGATCTGTCTTTAAAATAATCAATGTTTATACTAAAGAAGTTTGAAAGGAAAAAAAAACTGATTATTTTTTTGGAAAATTTGAAAATTAATTAGAAGTATTTAGCAAGATACATTAATATTTGAACATCCCACCTGAACTCAGAATATTTATAGTAATAATTTATCTCGAGGTTTATTTACAAAGTATGCACCATTTAAATTAATTAATTGTTTGATAAGGAGTACAAATTTGAAAATGCATATCAGTTGCAATTGAACTAAAACAGTTTATTCGAACTACTTTCTAAGCAAATATTAGGTTATGTTCGTATAAATACAAATATTAAAAATGAAACTGCTCTCAAAGTCTGTAAACTTAAATTCCAATCGTGGTTTAAGTTACAACAAGATGAAAAACTGGTACGGGAATCTGGTGAAGCCCAGAACGATACCACCACCTTACAAGCACATCACACAAATAGGAGATCCAACACTTCGGTTGAAAGCCCAACCAGTGGATGTGGACACAATTAAATCAGTGAAAGTACAGAAAATCATCAAACAAATGAGAGATGTCTTTGAGAAGTACAACTCAGTTGGATTGGCTGCACCACAGATTGGTGTTCCATTGAGGATCATTGCCATTGGATTTTCTAATGGTGTTATGAAACAGTGGAGTGCAGAAGAAATTCAAGCTCGAGACATGACTTTGCTTCCCTTTACAGTTAACTACATCTGCTTAATTAAAAAATAAACTTTAATAATATTCTCACAATTTTAGATTGTTATTAATCCTGAGGTGAAAATTACTGATTACAACAAATTGGTTTTTCCTGAATCCTGTGAGAGTGTCAAGGGTTATTGGGCTGATGTTCCTAGGTTCAAAGCTGTAAATTTAAATGGTGACCAAAAATTCCAATTTGAAGACAATCATTTTCATTGATGATTTTTTAGGTTTCAATCAGAATGGTGAAGCTTTAAATTTAGAGACCAAAGGTTGGTTGTCCAGGATTATTCAACATGAGATGGATCATCTCAATGGTACTCTGTATACTGATATTATGAACAGGAAAAGTTTGACCTGTGGTGGCTGGGAAATTATCAATGAGAGGAATGGAAGTGTTAACTTACCCTACAAACCAAGCTAATACTAATTGCCTCTTATATTTTCATGTAATATTTATTGCATTTGTACATATATATATTATTGTTGTGATGTTTTATTTTCTTTGGTTTTCTCTTCATTTTTCCTAATAATCCAGTTCAAAATCTAAATAATGACTTAAACTTACATCAAAAATCATAGTCAACTTAAGTAGAAATGACGTAACTCGAGATTACATATTTCTTAACTAATTTAATTTGTCTAATATATTTTTTATTGTAACATTTGTTGCATCTAGTTTTAATTTTGTTTCAATTTCTCTTTATTTTTTTCACAATAATCCCTTTAAAAATTCATTGAATGCAATACCTTTAAAATTACATTAATACAGTGGAATATATAAATTTTACTCATATAGTGAAACATGTTCAAAAATACACATAATGTCTGTACACAAGTTTTAATAATGATGCAGAAGGCGTGCAATCCGGGACTTCTCATCGTCACTCATTATGCGAAACTTCGCTCGTTAAGCGAGTCATTTTTCTTACAATTGATTTTGCTTGTTAAGTTTCCACTGTACATTGAAAAACTTAGTCTATTTAAGTTGAATCAATGTTTTCAAAGTTATGGTCGGCTTTAGTCAACATGTTAGTTAAAAATATCAACTGAAAAACTTTCTTCTCTTGCAATATTTGACAAATCTATGCTTCTCACTATTTTCATTACATCAAAAGCCGTCCAGAAACTTAACAAGATTTATAATTTTATTTCATAACGTCAATAAGGTATAGTAACACCTAAAATGAATGAATTAGACTTCCTATAAAAAAAATACAATTTGTTATATATCATATTTATTCAATATTTGTTTTTGTTACGTTTGTAAATTAATTCAAAATTATATAAATGCAGTGGAGCCTCGCTTAAGGAGTTTAATCCGTTCCAAAATTTACGGATTTTTACTTGTATAGTGAAACATATTAAAAAATATACATAATATGTGTACACAAGTATTAAAAATGATGTAGCAGGCGCACAATCTGGGACTTCACATCGTCACTCGTTATGCGAAACGTCGCTCGTTAAGCGAGTCATTTTTCTTACAATTTATTTTGCTCGTTAAGCTAAATTCTCGTTATGCGAGGTGCTCGTTAAGCAAGGTTCCACTGTATAAAGATTTGTCAAAATATGTACCGAAATTTCAAATTTAATTATTCTCATTTTTTGACAAAAATTATATGGTATTAAATTTTTTTCATAAGATATAGTCAATTTTATTCCAAAGGGAAATGTTATTATAAAGTATTTTTAGAATAAAGTATTCTTTTAAAGAAATTCAGTTTTGTATAAAATTTTATAATTATTTTTCAAGAATGTAATTAAGTTACTCTTCCATATCATCAAATATAGACGATCAAAAATTATAATCTACAACTATAACAAAATACTTCAATGACAATCAGAAAATTCCTTCTAAAATTATTAATAACTAAATGTTAACTAAGAACTATTTTTATTATAAAAACATACAATTTTGTATGTGAATGGACTTTTAAAATTTACTTTACTTCAATAAAAGTTAATGTGTTTCAATTGCAAACAACTTGCTTAAGGCAGTGTATGCAATAAATAAGTATGTAACCATGGTAATTTGTTATCACCATAGCTAAATTATCCTTACTACTACTACGACGAAACAAGTAGAAATCCAAATAATGTAATCGAATTATTTGTAATATGAACATCGTTATTTTGAAATAGTGTTGTAAAACGCGTCCAAAGTCTGAAACTTTTCACATTCATATCAGTTTTCCAATTTTAATTTCCAGAAAAATAATATAGATAAATAAAATAATTATCAGTTTTTTATTTTATTTATCCGTTTAATGTTTCTACTGCATTTCAATAATTGCGTAATTGAATAATAAGATTGTAAAAATCGTCTTTGAGCCTTAAAAATTTAAAACTATTAATCAATTTAAATAAGTTCATTAACGTTTTAAACTAATTAACAACATATTTTCCAGGTCGAAAATTTAAATTCAAATAAATAATTTACAAGATTTACTTGGCAATTAAAAATTGTAATAAAATATTTGTATATTAAAATACAAATATATATTTTGAAACAAAGCAAATATGAAAATAATGTTTATTATGAGTAATTGTAACTAATAGATTATGTTTATAAATCATCAATTGACTTGAGACAAATTGAAAACCTTGCAAATAATTGAATCACAACAAAACATTATGATTGCTGATATAAATATTATTATTACTATCAAATATTTCGAATATTTGTATGCTTGTGACATAATCTAGATTCGCATATAAACATCCGATGTAAACTATAATCAAATCCGGGTATACAGATCGTACGTCACCGTCTCTTAACATTATCTATTCGCAGATATTTTATGTACCCTAACGTGTTCCTTGCTACCAATGAAACGACAGAATTTCTGTCTCGGATCATACAATGACTAATCCTTGCAGAATCTCTAAACCACCATGGACGGAGTAATTTCAAAATAATTTTCGATCATTGAAAAATCAATAAAACTGTATAGAAAAATAACTTTTTTAGCAAAGTTTTCATAGAAAACTCATATTTCTTAATAGTGCTACTATGTAGCATATCGAGATTTCCTTAATTTGTTTATTATCGAGTTAGTAAATTTTAGAAAAAGTTTTATCAACTACGCCGCTGGTATTTCAAAATTTGTATATAAACTAAGTAATTTCGGTGTGGAATCATATTCACAGCCAAACCAGACAGCTATACATTTAAATAAATCTTAAACTTTCTAAGTTTTTAAATTGAAATCATGTATTTCGCGAAGATTAACGTAAGTTATTTTCAATGTTTATTTTTATGATAAAAATATTTATTAATTCAATTATAGGAAGCTTTAAACTTCTTGGATGTTTCATCCATTGAATACGATGAGATCTTCAAAGCAACAGCTGCCTTGATGGGAATCGAAAGTCTCTTGGAGTATTACGAAGAGGATAAACAAAACGATGTTGTCGTTGAGGATGCTAAATATTACGTTAGCGAGGGAAAGACTGTTGAACAAGGAAAAACCGTTGTAGCTCAAGGCAAAACTGTGGATATCGATCAAGGAAAGACTTTCATCTCGCAAGGAAAAACTTTTATTGCACAAGGTAAAACTACAGAAGTTGACCAAGGAAAGAAGTACTTTGCTCAAGGAAAAACATTGGAAGTTGAGCAGGGCAAAAACTATGTTGGCCAGGGTAAATTTGTTGCACAGGCAAAGACATACCTCAGTCAGGGAAAAACCATGCATATTGACCAAGGAAAATCTTACATGTCGCAAGGAAAATCTTATGTTTCCCAGGGCAAGTCCGTTGATCAAGGCAAGACCTATGTAGCCCAAGGCAAATCTGTTGAACAAGGCAAGACCATCGACCAAGGCAAGACCTACGTTGCCCAAGGCAAATCCGTTGAACAAGGAAAGACCATCGATCAAGGCAAGACATATGTTGCCCAAGGCAAATCTGTTGAACAAGGCAAGACCTACATTGCCCAAGGCAAGTCCTACGTTGCCCAAGGAAAATCCGTTGAACAAGGCAAGACCTATATTACCCAAGGAAAGACCATAGACGTTCAACAAGGAAAATGCTACGTCTCTCAAGCCAAAACCATCGACGCTCAATACGTGTCTAGCGTATTGAAATATGTAATTGAAAACACTGTTAACTTCAGCAAACAGCAATCTTATTATATGAGACCAATGAACATGATTTCTGTTTACTAATTAAAATAAGAGTAATTCGATTGAAATCATTAATAGTAATTAGGTATTATTATTGATTATGTTATTAGTACAAATAAATTTCTAAAGCTACAATTATTTGTGTATTTGGCGAAATATACATTACAGATAAATATTGATGATGTTTTATTTCTTCGTCGGATCCAATTACATTTTATCAGTGAAATGCGGCAATCCGGTTTCGTTCCTACGTCTGGTCATAATTTCGCATCCAGTATCTGTAACAAGTAAAGTCTGTTCGAATTGTGCAGACCACAAACCATCTGCCGTCACAGCTGTCCACTTGTCTGGCCATGTCTCATCGCGCCATGTTCCCACGGATATCATTGGTTCGATGGTGAAACAATGGCCTGCCTTCATAACTCCGATGGCTCGGTTTTCTGGAGTCAAACAATTCTTATAAGATAATGTTTCATACACATTTCATATGATATAAACTAACTGGCATAATGCGGTACATTTGGAGCGGTGTGGAATAAACGATGTATTCCATGGCCGCAGTAGCTTCTCACAACCGAATACCCATTGGCCTGGGCATGCTTCTGGATGACATTTCCAATTTCCCTGTACTTTTCTCCAGGCTTGACCAAACTGATAGCTTTACTTAAGCATTCATAAGTAACTTTGACCAAATCCTTATGTTTATCGCTGACGTTTCCAACAAAGAACGTCTCGTTCAGATCTCCATGGAATCCGTTGTGATAAACGGTAATGTCTACGTTACACAAGTCCCCATCGTTCAACGCTCTCATGTCCGGAATTCCATGACAAATTACCTAATGAATTAAAATAATCAATCTTAGTATTCATTATATTTTTCTATTGTTTTTTAAACAAACCTCATTGACTGAAGTGCAGCAAGATTTTGGAAACTCATAGTAATTCAGTGGAGATGGATAGCAATCTCTTTCAATGCAAGCTTCATGAACAACTCTATCAATCTCATCAGTTGTGACACCAACATCACAAACTCTAGCTGCTTCATCCAGAACTTCCCTTCCCAACTTGCAAGCCACTCTCATACCTAATTTAAGCATAATGTTAATTGTTACACTAAAAAAATGTCTCAAACATCTAACCTTCAATCTCTTCATCATCTAATACTTTGATCTGACTGGACCCCTTTACAGCCTGCTCTGATAAAGGATAACCCAAAGGATGGTCAGCATAGTCTGGCCTGCCAATCTTTTCTGGCACCTGTCTCTTAGTAGATAGCTGACCTGGTCTTAGCTTACCAGTGTATGAATATTGAGGCCATGGATTATAGTCAGAATCCTTCTTGCCTTCATTTCCTTCACCCTCTGTGAAATAGTTGAAACAAGAAATAAATAAATGCACAATATGTAAATGAAACAGTTCTAAGACTCAAAACATAAAACAAACCTCCAAATAGAAGTTTATTAAACCAATTGTAAACGAATGACATTATAAAAGTTTATTATTATTATTATTGTGTACGATATTAGATAGGCCTGTCTACCCACCTAACCTTACTTACTAGCTAAAGTGTGAATGATTTTGTGCGACTTCCAATTGCTTTTGAAGCACTCCTGGGAGCAGAAAAAGGATCCTTGGATGCCCAACTTCAGGCAAGTGGGGCACTGCAATTTCGCGGGGGCATCACACCCGGTGGACTCACACGTTCCCAAAAAAGACATTTCTGAATTTGAGGTTAGCACCTGCTCAAACACAAGAAGATGCAAGTAACATGCAATGATGGTAGCATACCACGATCAAAATTTTTGTGGAATTGCAGTTTTATTGTATATCGGTTGCATACATGTAATAATAGGAAAACAATACAAAATACGAGTTCATTTCAAAAGTGTGTAAATTAAATGTTAATAATTAAAGAATTAACAAACGTATACATAATTTATAATATGTAGAGAGGATATAATTATGATGTGTACCATTTTCTCAACATGAGATACATGAAAATCGGTGGCAATCGCAAGCCCGACAACCGAAATACCGTCAATCAAATTCCCGACGTTTGAAATGCCTGTATCGAAATCCCGACAACTATAATCCCGACTATATCGAAAATGTCTACAATAATATTTTTAAATTATTCCGGAGCGTAGTGACTTTTAAATTGTTATTAATAATAAATAATAACAATAAATAATTTAATTGTATCTAAGATACTTCATAATGTTAAGTTATTTATTGTTATTGATAATAAAATTGTAGCACAAGGTGACTACGGTCTGAAATATTTTAAAAATGTTATTGTAAAAAAAATTGATAGTCGGGATTTTGATATAGTCGAGATTATGCTTGTCGGGATTATGGTTATCAAGATTCTGATACAGTCGGGATTATGGTTGTCGAGATTTTGATATAGTCGTTATTTCAATAGGTCTTTCGGTTGTCGGATTTGCGATATAGACCCAATATTTTTGTGTACTATTTTTTAGAATTTATTTTTTTTACTAAACTCGATGTCTTAAAACAACTTAAATTTACATTTTTTTAATAATAATAAATCGAGTGTATAAGAATATACAAAAATTCACAGATTTTGCATTTCAGTTTGATAATTACTTAAATTTACATTTTTTTAATAATAATGAATCGAGTGTATCAGAATATATAAAAACTCACAGATTTTGCATTTTTGTTTGATAATTACTTTATTAATCCAGTAACAGTTCCAAGCATATACATTGATTGCAGTTCTTTCTATCACTAAGTACAAAGCGCGATTTTAACATTTAGTTATACATTAACCAGCATTTGCAACATAAGCTATTTCCGCATTCCACAATTCATTGGTACTTTGATACTTCTTTTTAACTACATATTATTTGGCCATTTATTACACAATTCATGTTGTATATGATTCAAAGAACAATATTACAAACTACCTTATCTGAAATATTTATGAAACAAGTGTAAGCTGTAAGTATCACATTTAAATACAAAGACCAGATTTTTTTCATTAACATACTAATATTACACGACTTGATTTGTCAGACTTTAGTTTTATAATACGTTTCAAAAAACTTAAAAGCTATTGTTTATATCTTTCTTTTTATTTGTGACAAGTACTTGTAAATCAACTAAGATAACAAACAGATGTCCACTATTTTAATATATATTTGATTGATATCATTTTCTTTCATATTGTTATTATAAATTCCATATTATTACTGTCTTGTACTATATCGTTAAAATGTGTACACATTTTTTTATTTAAATTCTGATGTAATTTTCAGGCACGTTAATCTACACGTTCTGAATTTAACGTTGTATTCTAAAATAAGTTCGAGTTTGTATAACGAGAAACAGTTCTGTTTTATGATCTCGTGCAACAATCATAAATATATGATTATTTTAAATATGTAAATTTTCAAACTATTGTGACCTATCTATCACAACATTAAATTCATTGGAATTTACATCTTCCAAAAGTTGCGTTATCACATAAACCATTTACGAAATGAGTCAAATATCTTAAAGCTATTAAATGGCAACATACTTGTATATTGTTGTATTACCTCTTTAGAGGTATGACGTTAATTGCTTGAAATTTAATCTTAAAATAAGTTTCAAGACTCTTGTTTGTATATTGCGGGTATAGAATGACCTTATAAACTATAGCATAAAAGTAATTGCTAAGATTTTATCATTGTTATATTTTCTTTTTAAAGCTTGCTTTACGAACCTTTTAATTTATTGTGTCATGTCGCAACAAAGTTTTCATTTACACTGCAAGTTTTTCTTAATGTATTGTACTTGACAAATTTGACATTCTCAGATCGAACGGTTCAGTTGATTGCTTCAAATATATAAATATAAACTCATACAAAATATTACCTACAAAAAAACTACATAATATAAACTTACGTTTTAGTAACCGTTTAGAATGCATATAATTATCACATAGTTAAAATCTTGACTATTATTCTTAAATTACTAGCAGCATTAAAGTTGGTCGAATATTAGGTTGATCAATTGTGGATAAAGTAAATTAATAAATCTATTTAAATTACGATTTTGACTATTTCGACGTTTCACGTGCGATTATTATTATTATATGCATAACTATCACATAAAAAAGACACGAGAATATGTTTCATCATATTCATTGTTGCTAGTTGAATCGATTACAGTATAGTCACGAAATTCAATTGAGGCATATTGCCTGTAAAATCAATTTTACTGTCGTTCAGTTTTAGGTTGATCTTAAATTATATAATAAGTAATATTAATAGTTAATATTGTGATGACGAGTACACTTGTTTAAATATTCTTAATTGCTCCTCTTGACGGGAGGCGAATTGCTTCTGAATCTGTTCCTTGAATAGCTCGTAGGCGACTTCGGAATTGACCTACTGGAGCTGTTAGATCTCGAACGGCTCGACCGTTTCTTCTTACTCGGAGAGGCCTGCTTTTTCATGCTCTTAGCTATAACGCGCTTCTGATGGTCAAGTTGGGGGAAGAGATCTAAAACAGAGAAGAGTCCAAATACCGTGCGCAACACTTACAAATATAACATCAAACTATCGGCTAACATAATAAACTGTAGTAGTTACAGTGATCATTCACTTAACTTATATAATGCGTATGCACAAAAAAATGTATGTTAAACGAACAGTGATACACGAATTCAAGTTTTATATCAATTCACAGTTATACTTTGCACACTGCAACAATTTTACCTAAAGCAAATTTTAGGAAAGAACCATAATCTCACTGAAATACACAATATGAATGCATATAAAAACATGAATTCAAGATTTTATCACGAACGTTGCAATTTGTACTCTGTAGCATATGCATATATATTTTTTCTTGAAACGATTTTTAGAATAAGATAGAAGTAAAATACATAATATGAATGCTCTATGCACAGAAGTATATATGGTCAAAAGGTCATACAAATTGTACTTATTATCGAACGTATGTTAAGTGAGTATGTTTACTGTATTAATGTTAATAAATAACTCTAAACTACTCTACAGCTACGTGGTTAAAAAAACGTATTAGTTATGCTCAATCTAATAATTTCTATAAAATAGTATTAAACACTGAAACATGTATATTCGCATCTCGTTCATTTTCCATCTTATTTGAAATGTAATTTACAGATTGCCCTGCGAATTCCCAAACGCCACAGCATAGAATATAATCTGCCATACTGTTGTTGTTTTTTTATTTTTCTTATATACTTGGAATTTTTGAGAACCAAGACAAAATGTAAATGATTAAAATAAAATTTGTATGAAATTTGAACCCACCTGATCAGCGAGCATAACTCTTCTAAAGTCAGCTCGCGTATGTATGAGGGGAGTTCAGTGAATATAAGTCTATACACATGTTCTGCGAATTGAAAAACATTATCAAACAAGAAAAACTAAACTAACGATTATTATAATGTAATTGTTATGTATATATAGTAATCCCTTAACAAATGTCTTTTTAACACATATTGCAAACAACTGTTCTTGTTTGCAAAGTGTACCACAACAAATTTTATGTTTATGAGTAATAATTAATAAAATAAGAAATGTATTCAAAATTATTTATAAAAAATCATCATCATTTTTTTTTATCGATATTTCAATTAGGAAAAGTGTTTAGAAATATGTCAACAAAAATATGTATTTGAAATTTGATTTTAGAATATAAACGTTGATTTCACACATTCTATATCTACATTCATATTCTGGAACCTACTAATATAAGTTTCGCTAATAACGATGTTTCTCTAATATGTAAAGGATTAGTATATATATATGTATATAAAAAGATCGTGTACACCACAAAATCAGGATAAAATATAGCAAAAACCATAACCGACAATCACACGATAAAACAGATACTTACCATGAGAGATCTCTAATGCTTTCTTTGCAGCGTTCATCTCAGCCTGTTGAATGCTGTGTCCCATAGCGCTCGACAATCGCCGTCCTCTAAAGTAAACGGCCACCGTGTAAACCCTTGTATTAGTAGGACCTTTGCATTCAATGACTCTGCAAATTAATAACAAAAAAATTATACAATCCAATTACAATTTTCCTTCAAATATTGTTACTTGTAAACAGGAATATCAGGCTCTCCTCCATCCATGGTCCTTAACGTCAAACAACACTGCTGTAACTTGGACTTCGGGTCATTCCAATCTTGATTCATAATGAAATCTTGTAGTCTCGGGAAAAGAGTCACATGGCAGAACACTTCGCAATGTTGCAAACCCTAATTAAAATTTTAAAAATAGAAATACAAATCAATTCCCTCCACTTACCTGATCCACGTATAATGCTCCGATGAACGCTTCCAGTAAATCGGCCCGATCCTTAGTCTTCAGATCCGCCTTCGGATTATTGTATACAGCGTAATTGGACATGCCCAAATCATCGCAAACCACGGCTTGCGTTCGATTGTTCACCAAAGAGCTTCTCAATAACTAAAATCAATGAATTAAAATCGAAGAAATATAACAAATCAACAAGAACTTACAGATAAATGACCTTCGTGATGCTCCGGGAAGAACTTGTATAAATATTCGGATGCGATCAATTGCAGAACTGTATCACCCAGAAATTCCAAACGTTGATTGGAACCAAGTGTTAAATTTGTATAGCCCACGCTTCTATCGGTGAAAGCCCTGGCCAGTAAACGTATATGCTTAAAGTTTACTCCAATGCTATCCTCGAATTCAGTCAAACGTTGGAGAAGCTTAAACTTTGGGATCCATTCGCGATCTCCAAGTGGCTCTTGCTGTTGCAGCGGATGCGGCGGGTAATTCACCCAAACGTTTAATAAATCCGGCAACTCTTTGAACAATGTTTCGGAGAACACTCGATCTACAATCTGGAAAAAAAATTAATTAATTAATATGGATTTTCAAATCAACTGTTCTGCATATCTATCATATTAAAGTTTTCCTCTTCTCTCCTCATGTTACACCAAATTTATAGAAACTGCAATACTCTAACATACGTTGGATAATATGCACATGATTATTTACTAATGTGATATATTAACGTACAAGTATCCGTTCGAATGTACAAATATATCAGATCCAATACTCAATTATTTCGATAAGACATTAAAAGATGTCATCAAGTCATCTATTTCAAATACAACTATATTAGGAAAAGCTTTAAAAATTGCTTTTAAAAGTAAATAGTATGGTTAACTGACCTTTATGCCGCCATCCAAGAATAGGGCTCCCATTAAAGCCTCAAAGCAATTGGCCATGGCATGTCTAAGTTCCAGGTCGTGGCAAAGGTCTGATCCATGCGCGTAAAGCATGTACTGATCCAAGCTTAATGTCCTGGCTAAAACTGCAAGATGCTGATTCTGTACGATCGCAGCTCGATAAGTGGCCAATCCTCCTTCCTCCAAATCGGGGAAAGTGTAAAACAAATGTATGGAAGACAAAAACTCCACCACCGCATCACCGAGAAACTCCAGCCTCTCGTTGTGCGTGATATTGGATTCGGTCTCGTGCTGCTTACCAAAACGCGACATGATATTGATCAAAGTATTGATACCTCTCTTCCTTGTATTCATATAATGTATTCGGCGATCCCCGTACTCGGGTTGACGAATTCCACAATTAGTTAAGCTGTTCCTAGCGTGATCCGGATTAGTTCCGAAGTTCTCTCTATACGAGGGATGGGTTAAAGCCAGTTGAAGAAGGGCTCTGTTTTCAAACTTGTAGTTGATACTCTCCTCTAAAACATTTAACGAATTGTGGAATCGCAGATGACAAACTAACACAGGTATCAACATTGCGTGCTGCAAGAAATGGGTGTAAAATACTTGATAGATATAATTTATAATAGAAAATACAAAATACCTGGATGACATCGCACATGATACCGGTTCTGTGGAATCCTTCAGCGGAGACCGCCACAGTAACATCTCGTTTCATTTTACTTTGAGTTCGCATTTCTTGCAATTTGTTTTCTTTGGATTCCAATTTCCGCTTGTCTTCGTAAGTTGGTTTGGACATATTAGCTAGCAAATGCCGGAATTTAACATAATCTCTCCAAGCCTTTTGATAACTAAAAAAAATCATGAAAAAAATATTTTTTAACTATGCATATCAAATAGTATTCGTACTCTGGGTTTCCTGCGTAACTCAATTGAGGTGGCCTAATCCCAAAGTGGACAATCTCGGGAAACTTGTAGTTGCCTTCGACTTGCAAATCGATGTTTCTGTCCAGCTGATCTACGCGCACCGAGCACGGTTTTTTCCCCGGATAAGTAACGACCATTCCCTAAATTAATATAGCGATTATTTAGCTTGATTTAATACTGAAATAATACTTTAATTTCATCAGCGTACGCTTGCCAATCGGACTGGCTCATTCCGACCATGGTTTTCAGATTACTCTCGTGTATTAACGGCACCGAACTGTCTATCAAATATTGCAAAACCTCCTTCATGGACAAAATCTCTTTTCCATTGTCGGAAAGATCTCGTACAAATCTAGGCATGAAATGGAACTGCGAACATCCGCTGCTATCTCCTGCGGCTTTAAAATCCAAATCAACAAGCTCCAAGATCTCATGGAACAAATAATCATCTGCAAAAGAAAACTTAAATGTTAATTGAAATTCTTGAAATGTACATGGTGAAACTTACGAAACAAATCTAATTCCCTAATGGTGAAGTTATCAGGGACTTTCTCCTCGATATACAAAATTGTATACTCTATATTGAACCTGATCACTTTACATATTGGCAGTTTGACAAGAGGTGAATGTGAGAACATCGAGAATCCTTCGAATATGAATTCGTGCTCATCGTGCTGGATAATCGTCGGTATTTTGATCAAAAAGTTGGTAGGTGGTGAAATAGTAATACGATAATGGTATAATTTGTTGGCGTTGTTAGAGAGGTTGCTGCAAGATTGCAGGAAGCGTTCGCCTGGGTAAATCCCGTGTCTTATACCCGACTTCCTAGACTTGTTGGAACATCTGCAGAGCGGCCCATCGTTCATTTCGCCCGGATCATTGTACCTGAAATAGTAATAGTATTTTAATCAGATTTATTTTTTATATATTTCCAATTAAAACATACCACATTTCTGGATGCAAACGGTCAGGATGCTGCTGTTTCCTTGTCAATTCCTCCATAGTGCAATCCTCTTCATCAGTGAGCTCCTCTTCAGATGATGAACCTGAACTGCTACACTGTTCACCTGAACAAATAAATATTAAAAAAACGTACAATCTAATCATTTCTATAAATAATTACTTTTGTGTTTGCAAAGCCTTGCTCTGTTCTTCCTAGGAGGTGGAACATACACGGGTTTAACTTCATTAATTTTCTTAGCGCGTTTAACTAAGTTACTTTCAAAATAATCACATAAAGCTATAAGTCTATGAGTGGCATTGAGCACCTTCGGATTTTTCTCATCGCGTACATAGTATAAATCGGCAGGCGTCGTTCGAGTCCATTTAACTTTTTCTTTCTCAATCAATTCATCCTGATTGTTAGTGTACAACTCTTCAATCTTCTTTGATACTTGCTCTTTCGTCTCACAGTAGTTCTTTTTCCATTTGGATAAAATCTGAGCGCGTTCGCTCATATTCACTGAATCACTTGATTTAAAACTTTTGTCATTCCTGTGGTTATCCCTGCTACTCGATTTATAGTTACTCGATGAGCTTGAATGATGTATATACTTTCTATCATTCTTGTATTTATTATCTCTAGATTTGCTATCTTTACTTGATGATTCATATCTCCTGTATTTTGGAGACCTTGATCTGGACCTTAAATTCAAACATTAGAGAAAATTTTAAAAATTGAAATAAATGTATTTACCTATGTCTAGATGAATATCTATCCCTCTCCCTACTTCTGGACCTAGTTTTCCTAACTGACACATTATCAGTATCATACCTTCTCTTCTCATATTTGCTTTTACTGATTTTATAAGATTCCAACTCCTTTTTAAAGTCAAAACTTTCAGAAGATGACTTATAATAGTTGTATGATGTACCTGGTTGAACATTATTTCCAGAGTAAGACATGTAATAGGCCTGATTTGTCTGATAGTAATCAGGAGGTGGAACCTGGTATTGTTGTTGTTGTTGCTGCTGTTGTTGGTCGAAGGTGGTATAAGGAGGTGGAGGATAATTTGGTGGAGCTACCTGATATTGTTGCCCAAAATTTTGCATTGGTGCAGCACCATTTGGGTACACAGTTGGTGGAGGGTAATTGTAATTCCATTGTTCACCCATTAAATTAATACAGGTACAAAAAAATATATAAAAACTTGTACAAAAAAATGTTCTACACTATTTTGTTTGGCTTTAGGTTAGATTTGTTGAGCTATAGGTCACATAAAAACCATGGCCCTCACATGGAAAATACAAGAACTAAATTTAAAGAACATTAATTTCAAATTATTTCAAAGTTAATCAAGTTGTTTTAATTGAAAACTAATTATAATATTCTGAAATTGCATCATATAAATAAACAATGTTCATACAATGAAACAACAAAATTCACGTAAATTTCTAAAGTTACAATTAATTTTATGGATATGTAAATATTGGTATTATTAACTATATATTTACTAAACAGTAATTATTTTAAATTAAATATATTAGAAATATAAATCATGGCGTTGCTATATTTAACACTATGTAGGCAACTAACTATACTTGTATTTTGAATTTGAAATAAATTAACAATTTACAGAAAACATGATAAAAGTACTTAATTTATGCTTTGAGATGAATTTGTGCAAAGTTCAGGCAAGATGAAGACAGTGGAGAATTAAAGAAGAAGTAGAGATAAAAAGGTTGTTCAAACATAGAGTATAGTTAATAGAATTGTAATGATTTTGATTTGATATAGTAACAAGTTATGACACAACAAAGATTTAAAAAATCGCACAACAAAAGTTTTCCTTGTTGGTGGATATATTTTATTTTAAATATCAATATATTAGTAATTGACAATTATTGTCACATATACAATTTTATATTTACATTGCAAATCGTAATTGGTTTTAATTAATTTAAAAATGGATGCTATGCTGCAAAGACACTGCGCTCGATTTATATACATAGTCCCAGAAGGTTTGAGGGAACTGATGTCGGATATTTCTAGAGAAGTACTTTTCGTCTCAATTATATAGATCTTTGTAATCTACCAAATTTTATTTGTAAACCGACATTCTAGGTGTTGAGATCGCAACCCAATGAAATATATACGTTCATAGCAGACTATTTGGATGCGTTGATGATCACCAGAGAGAACGCTCGAAGTACATTGAATCTCCAATTTAGAAACTATTTTTAAGTATTCTATTTCAGTTGCGATAAAATTGGTGGAGAGCATCACCGAGATAGCTGAAGCCACTGTACAAACGTTGTTGGAAATTGGAGTATCAAGAGAAGACGCCGATGAAGTTGTTGCTATTATTCAGAAACATTTCAGGGAGCACGCAGAAATTAAAAGGTTGCACAAATTCGATGTATTGGAGCACACCGAAGGAGGTAAGTGTATCATGAAATGTTACTAATGTGTGTTTAAATGACGAGTTTTATGAGATATGGGTGAGGAGGATATCATAATCGAACGGATTCTGGCTGAGCTGAATATGACTATGGAGCAACTCGAGAAGATGGTGATTATAATACAGACTGCCTATAGGAAGTTTAAAGAGAGGCAGGAGCGAGAAAAGCAGTGGCTCTTCGGAATGGTTGATTGGAGGATCGCAGCTAGAAGTGCTATAGCTTTGTACCGGAAAACTGGTGTCACCTATTACGAAGCGAATAGAGCTGCGTCTTTGATCAAAGCCGCTTACAAAGGGTACTACACAAGGCGCGTGATGAAGCGGTTGTTGCAGCAAGGAATTGCTGATGACAGCATAATGTACGACGAAATATCATGGGAATTGGAAGAGAATAAGTACGTTTGATAATCAATTTAAATAATAAATTGTAATGTGTGTCTTTTAGGGAGTTAGACGTAAATATGAATATTAGAGTATGTAAATATTTTTTTTATTACAACTCACTACTTAGTATTCCACGGCATCCTCGAGAATCACCACGTTGGAATTGGAATATCAATCGGATGAAACTCTTGCGACAGAAGCTATGTACGATACTCTACCGATTTCGCCATACACCGATCAAACGCAGCCCGGAGAAGACACTCTGCCTATGGACGTAGAGCATTACGTTTATAACGTGGATGAAGATCACACTTTGTACATGGAGGAAGGGCACGGTGATGAACACCACGAAATGCAGGAGCATCATGAAATGGAGGAACATCACGATAAGGTAGAACACGAAGAACAAGAAATACACCATGAGGACTATGAGGAAGTGCAACAAGAGGACGAGGCTGAAATTAACGGTATAGTTCAAATATAAAATCTAAACACGTTTATTAAAAACTATAAATAATAATAATAATACTTTCTTTTAGAAGCGGAAGAACAGCCTCAAGACATTGCGCCTATGAATCCAGAAGAAATGGCAGGCGAAGAGTGAACAAATTAAACGCCAATTAAGCCTTTGATATATAAATTATCTTGCTTGGCCAAATCTGTCTTCAACTTTTTTAATTTCGCTTCTAGATCATCGTCACTTAAGTTCGCAACATCTATTCCTTTGAAATCTTCTAGAACCTTGGCGATCATTCCGTTCCCTTCGTCGATTAACTTTCGTTTCAAACTGGGATCAAAATCTTTGATATATTTCATGCCTTCAACGTCTTCCAATTTTTCTTGGTATTTAGTAGCAAACTACAAGAAATAACAAATTAAGCATTTTCTTTTAAAATTAATATCTAGTAGATATTATACAGATATATTAATTTTGCATAATGTTGAAGTTACCTTTATAACATCTTCTGGGAATTGTACAACTTTAGCACAGTGTATGCCGTAACTCTTGTCGCACGGTCCTTCCTTCATCGTGTATAGAGGTGTGATGGTGTTATCCGAAATAATAGCCGAAACGTGAAGATTTATCACCGTAGGAATTTCCTCTTCCAACTGTGTGATCTCGTGATAATGAGTGGCGAAGAGCGAAAACGATTTCAGTTCTTTCGCCAAATACCTAAAAATGAATATTATTATATACACATAACAAAATAAATATTGTATATTTACTCAGCAACAGCCCAAGCTATTCCGCA